AGTTCGAAAAAAGTTATTTCGATAAAGCTTTATTGTTGGACTCTCTAACGTGTACCAGCAATCGGAAGTTTCATTCACCTGGAGAGAAACCAAAGATACTGCAATCAGAAACACAATGCGATTCAGAAATAGATTTTCAATCCGATAATCTATACGGTTAAAAGAACTTGCCTTGAAGTTATCTTTGGTAAACACTGATGCACCAAAGTTAGGTCTGCACTCAAGAGGAAAAGATTCATTTGGTGCTTCTGAAAACGCTAGCCATGTTTGACCAATTAAATGGTCTTAATATTCTACCTGTGAATGACATTATCGAATGATGTCATAAGAGAATTCTTATCTTTATAAACCAAAAGGCATAATATTACTGAAATATTTTACAACCTTTTGAAGACATAAGCCCAATAATAGTAATCATAACGACATCTGAATTTATCTCTTTCAAAAAGGTAAACACACATGATGCGCTTTGATATTCAACAATCCAATGCCACACACTTTGACAACCTAAGCTCAACAGCTACATCAAAACAAAAATCAGTTTAACTATCTTTCTCATCCATATCAAATGAATAGGGCCGGTCCTGAAATAATGTGGGCCTGAAACAAAAATTGAAAAAGGGACCACTATATCGTAGTCTTGTCGATCGTATTGTGAAAACCTAACAAAAATAAATTTTCATAAAAATACTTGTCATGGCTGGCTAGATGTTGATGAAGRTTAGAAAAGAAGTAGATGATCGGTGATTGACTCCGTGACGGCGAGGTAAAAGTGTCGAAGACAAAAAAAAAAATTTACAATCGACAAAAAAAATTGTAACCTTTTTCTATTTCATGGGCCTTTTCTATTAATTGGCCTCATTAGGAATATGTTTCTTTTTTATTGATCTATACATATTAATAAAAAAAAACGTGAGCCTACAAAACAGAACAAATTTTTGTATATGATATAAAACAAAAAAAATTCTTCTAAAATGGGTTTCTCAAATTTGGGGGCAAAGCAAATGTTTCATCGGGCTTTGTTCAGGGCCGGCCCTGCAAATGAAACAAAATCCTAAATTTACCGAGTTAATAAACAAAATCAATATGTTAACTTCCAATTTCAATCTTACAATATCACTGGGCCGAGACTAATTTATCAGATATCATTAGCAAGTGAGACAATTTAGCATTAGAAACCTACCAATTTCTTATATCACTTGATAACAAACTAAATAAAAAACCACAAAACCCCAAATTATCGAGTTAAAAATCACAATCAGGGTTGTAACTTTCAATTTCAATCTATCAGAGATCATTGGTACTTGAATTGTTTACTATAAAGAACCCATTAAACAGAAAGAGACCTATCAATTTCGTCAATAGCTCAATGACAGAACAAACCCACAATTCACCGATGAAAATTACAAAGATCCCTAATAGAAACGAATATAAGAAGAAACTAAAGGAATCGCAAAGCTAACAAAGAGAAAAACCTCTTTTGCTTCCTCGTCGTCCTCACCAACGCCGTTTCGTCGGAATCCATTAAATACTTTCATCCTCCGGTGAGTTTATTATTGAGAGAAAAAGAAAATCGATTCATGACTGCTCTAATGGTGGTTACTCTCAAATTCGAGCCTCGAATTTGATTTTTACTGTGTCTCGTGGGTGAGGGAGAGAAACGGTCGATCGGTTTTCTTGATTCTTTTGTTTTGTTTTTAATTTTGAATAACTAAACTGTCACAAAATTAAATTAAAAAAATGGCTAAAGACACGTGTCATTTGGAGAATTGCCGACTGACTTCTGTTTTAGTATAATAAAGATTACACAATGCA